AAATTAAAATGGGTTATTGAATAGACATTTCCCCAAAGAAGTCATACAAATGCGTCAGTAAGCACATACAATGATGCTCAGCATCATTAGGAAATTGTTGCTGTTTTTAAGTGCCATCAAGTTGGTGCCCATTCATAGCGATGCTATAGAGTTTCTGAGGAGTGGTTGGTGAACTTGAACCACCGACTTTGTGGTTTAAACTGACCTTGCAGTCCAGCACATAAATCAAAACCACACTGAGATATTATTTCATTCATACTTAATATAAAAAAGATAAGAAACCAACAACTATTGCCACGAGAAACACTCATCCATTGCTGCTGGGGCTGCAAAATGGGACAGCCACCAAGGCAAACTCTGGCAGTTTCACAAAGTGTTAAACAGAGTCATATGACCCAGCAATTCCACGGCCACGTATGCACCCAAGATAAAGCCTGTACCACAAAAGTTCATAGTAGCCCTATTTGTTAATACCAAAAAGTAAAAGCAACCTAAATGTCTCTCAACTGATAAACTGATAAATGCAGCATGGTATTATCTATACAATGGCAAAACAGAGGAATGAAATACAACATGGAATACCTGTAGACTATATCATGCTAAGTGAAAGCAGTCCATATACTACATGATATGCAGCCTTCAAAATAAGGGAATTCATACAAACAAAAGTCAGTTATTGGTATTCGCCACCAGCAGCACTAACCAATAAGAAAGGGATCAATGTTCTGGAATCATAGTGGTAATGGCAACACAAGATGAATGCAATTCATGCCAGTGAATTAAATTAAAATGAAATGGCCAATTTTGTTATGAATCATTTACCACAGTTAAAAAAAAAAAAGGTAAAATAAACACACTCTGGGATAGCGTTTATGACTGCTGCATAGCTCTGAATAACAAAATACCACGGTACTAAATTATCTCTGAATTATATCACAATAAAGCTATTGTGTAGTTCTGATGTGGCACTGTGGGATAAACACTGGGTTGCTAACTACAAGGTTGGCAGTTCAAATCCACCAGTGGCTTCTTGGAAAGCCTATACAGGGTTGCTATGGGTCGGAACAGATTCAATGGCACTTAACAAGTCATCCCAGTGGTGCAAAATTTAAGTGCTTGATTATCAAAAGAAGGCTGGCAAAAAAAAAAAAAACAAGGTTGGCAGTTCAAACCCACCCAGCAGCTCCAAAGGTGACAGACCTGGCAATCTGCCTCCTAAGGGATTAGAGTCTAGGAAATCCTATGGGGTTTTCAATTCTGACATTGAGGTCTTCTTAATGAGTCAGAATCCACTTATAGCACCCCTCAACAAATATGTGTGTACATTCATTAAGTACATTGTACATTCTATAGCAAATAACTGCAACTGCAGGCAGAGGCCATAAACCACAAAGACTCGAGATTCCTCAAATGTAAAATGTGAATGAACAGTACGTATCTATAGAGTGATTGATGGTTACAAGCCAAGCATTCATTTGAATACTCTATGCACATCAACCATCTTTGGCATGCACTCCCAGTTGTTTAGCTATTATCACAAAATTGACTGTTCTGCACAGAAACTGCACAGTAATCATGTGTGCACCGGCTGAACCTATTTTACACTCTTAATTCTAATTTCATTCCTTATTTACTCAGACCTTCTTACACGCTCAGGAAGATTACAACTGCCTTCCATGTGTTCACTGTCTAATAGCATAGGACAGCCTTCCTTAAAAGTTCATGGAAAAATTCCATGATCTTTCAATTTCACTTTCCACAAACTTTTTAAGGACACCTCATAAAAATCCACATCTACGCCAAACTAGGTATCACTTTTGCTCTGCACCACTTGGGTAGACTGGTCAAGATTCAAGGTAAATAGATGAGAGTCGAATGCCAGTGGCTGTATGCACTCTTACAAATTAGTATGGGTGGGGCGATGCAGGGCATTAGGAAGAGAAGCAGGAGCAACATGTTAGCATTCCCCATGAAGGAGTCAAAATATGAGGGAGCTTCAAAACGTTTACGGAAAAATTGCATTATTTTTCAAATTCCATTTTTCTACATAAACTTTTTGAAGTCCCCTGGTTTGAATGTAAAATGAATTTAAAGTATTCCTTAGATTAAACCCACTGACATGGAGTTGATTCAGACTCATTTTTGTTGTTGTTGTTGTTAGGTGCCATCGAGTCGGTACAGACTCTTAGAAACCTTATGCAGCTGGGTTGCTGACCTAAAGGTCAGCAGTTCAAAACTACCAGCTGCTCCGCGGGAGAAAGATGAGGCTTTCAGCTCCCATAAAGATTTACAGCCTCGGAAACCCTGTATGGCTCACTACGAGTCAAAATCGACTCCATGGCATATACCCACCACCATCAGACTGACACAACTGTGAATCTTTATGGGCGCAGACAGCCCCATCTTTGGATTTGAACTGCTGACCTGTAGTGAGCATCCCAGTGTCTAAGCCACAGTCCACCAGGACCCTCTTTCTTGCCTTATTAGGAATAATAGGAGATTCATCTGCAGAATGGACTTCGGAAGTGCTTCAAACAGCCATCTTCAGTTACAAACACTTTGGAACCAATTATTACTGTCCTTCCTAAACTTCCAACAGGTCAGAGAGTCAAACCCACCAGCCACTCTGTGGGAGGGAAACATGAAGCAGTCTGTTTCCATAAAGAGTACAGTCTGCCCTACAAGGGTCAGTATGAGTTGGAATAGACTTGTATGGCACTTGTTGTTAAGTGCTGTGGAGTCGGTTCCAACTTATTGCGACCTGGTACAGAAGTTTCAAGGAGTGGCTGGTGAGCTTGAACCACTGACCTTGCAGTTCAAACCCAGCTTTTAGTCCAGCACGTCTCCAGGACTTCTGGCATGGCACTAGGCAGAACAACCAAATGCTACATTTAAACTAATTATAAATAGAAACATACTTGTTCACTGGGTCATTCCATCCCCTATACATATGGGTTTGTTTTGTACTTAGTTTAAATGTTGCATTTGGGAAATTAAGACATGATATAATAAAATATGCTCCACTTCCCAAAAAAGGTCAAGAGAACAGGGTGGTACTGAACACTTGGCTAGAGCATAATAGAGCAGCCCAAGATGGGCTCACCGAGACAAGCAGAATCTCAACTATACAAGACCTTTTACGGCAAAGAGAGGATTCTAGGTTATATTTCAGATGCAATGGGAAAGCCATGAAGGGTTTCAGCAGACAAAGAAATGAATGGCCCACTCTGGCTGCCTTGAGTGGACGGGAACAGACAGTACAAGGTGATGATCTGGACTAGTGTGGCCATGGCCAATGACGTGGGTGTTTTGGAGTTTTATGGACAAGGGAACGAGGAATCTGGACACAGGGAAGAAGCCTCAAGTTATTAAGTCAGGATACCCCTACCCCAAGCCACTGCCATCTACTGATGTAAACAAAGTTTGGGAGTAATGAAAAGTAGGATAAGCACTGGGCTGCTAACCACAAGGTCAGTGGTTCAAACCCCCCAGCCGCTACTGGAAACCCTATACTGGGTTGGTATGAGTCAAAACCAATAGCACTTAGAAAATGCTGACAATAACGTTGCTTGGAAAAGCTGGAGAGTAAAACAGAGCTAGAGAAATGCGAAAACATACAAAATCAGACTCTTGTGAACATTCTTTAGCCATAGTAAAGAAATTCCACCTATAAGCCATCTTCCTGCGATGTTTCCTTCCCCAGTTATCAGCACTCTCACTACACAAAGCTTTATTCTCCAGCCTAGCCCCTACTCTCCTTTCCCCACACTTCATGTCTGTTCAGTTGCTGCTTTGTACCTACATCGCTGGTTCATTTTCTTTTCCCCAAACTACACATGACCAGAACTCACACCATGCCTAAGGGACATTTTCACAATACAGGTGAGTGTTTAAAGAGAGCCCTAGGTGATTCTGATGCAGAACAATAACCATCCATAAACTCTAACACACTTTCCCTCATTCAAGTATCAATGACTGCCGAGCTTAGCTTGCCAATCCCAACCTATTGTCTACATCACTGCCAGAATTCCCTCTCTAACTCAAATACTCTTTGTCACAAAAAGCACTGTGACAAATAGGAAATTATGAATAAAATCTATAGATTAGATGGCAGTATTAATATCAACCTGTGGATTTTCAAAGTCCACAGTCTTTGAAAATCAACACTGATAGATTTAGAGGTAAATGGGTATCATGCTTATAATGCAAAGGAAAAGAAATGCAGCTCTTTTGTTTTCATTAAAACAACGAAGTGTGCCTCCCCGTGAGGCAGTGGGAAAGTGCCACCCTGAGACAACACACAAAACAAAATAAAGTGTTCTGTGCAAGGAGTGCGTCAAAGATTAGAATATTCCAACACACTAAGATTGTTCTGGTTGGTTTCCAGAGGGGGCTGCCTGCACACATGGTCACATATATTGACAATCAGGACAATAATCTCTTGATATCTTCTGCATGCTCTGGACTTTCAGTGACTACATGGCTTCAGTGACACCCACCCAGAGTCCAGGTTGAGACCCCTCACTCAATGGGTTACCTAAAAGTATTTCTAAGCATTGTTTTTAGAATCATGAAATTACATTTAACCATCAACTCAATTTGATAGTTACAAATAGGAATTCTCATCTGTGCCAAGAAACACAGGAAAAATGATGCAGCCATTAACCAGTATTATAACACACTCGCTCACTACAAATAATGTCAAATTACCTCCCAGAACTAGTGTTCTGTACGGTATATAAACTAGTAAATTCAGTAATTCAAACCTTCTTTAAAAAAAACAAAAATTCTGGAAATAAAACACACAACCTTAATAACAGAAAGGAGAAACCAAAACACCTCGAAATTGTTATATGAAAAAACACTGTTTAGATAGCACTAAAATCTATTCATATAATTCATACCTGAAGACAATTTAAAATACAATTTAAAATTATGAACCCTGAGAAAATGACAGCATTTAGAATTCAACTTGTAACCAAACAAAAAATAATACTCACCAGCAATTTCTACGATATCACCAGGAACGATGTCTTTTGCTTTAATTCGCTGTACACTTTTTCTGTCCTGTCGATACACTTTACCCATTTCAGGCTCATACTCCTTAAGAGCTTCAATTGCATTTTCAGCATTTCTTTCCTGTAAAAAAGAAAATAGAAGGGTAAGATATTGAACAACCATCTACCACTCCGAATGTTTCCAATCCAACTAACAGACACATAAAAAGCCCTCCTATATAGCATTTGCCGTAAGTACGTTGTAAAGCACCTCCACCCTCAAGCTAGTTCAGTTGGTCCCCTCTCTCTCATTGAGCATAATAATGGTCTGGCCCATTGTTCAATCCAGGCTTTTCCACTTAAGAGCTCTGTGATCATATATAAATTATACAACATACAGGTTTATTTCCTATACACAATTAGTGCCAACTTTGAAGACCACAAGTGTATACAGCTTAAAACTATGTTTGGTACATAATAAATTATATGAATGACGAATTTTAAAACTTGAGTCAGGCTTCACAACTTGTAAGCCGTCTCTCAACAGTGGTAAAGAGCAAGGGCTCCCTGTATGACCTAGCCTCGATGGCTTGACAGTCAGAATTCGACTAGAGGAATTAAAAAACCACTAATTTTTGATACAGGAACCAAGTATAAATTGCTACAATTTGATGAACTTGACCTATACAGATGCAATATACCAACTGAGAGGGAAAGAGCCTTCATATCAAGTATCAATCCTATCCCCCTCTGTATATAGGGTAGATAGGGATGGGCAACTTAAACACTGGCTATCTAAAATGAGGGTGTGATAAAGGCACGAGGTGACTGGTTTACAAGCTTTCAAGGGGAAGTTTAGTTTAAGAGAATGCGGGGGAAGGTAGAATCCCCACTGAAGAGTTTTCATTTTGTCTAGATGTGTGGCATTGTGGGTTAATACGCCAGACTGCAAAGCCATTTGAACTAAAAGGTTGGCGGTTCAAGCTCACCAGTTGTTCCTCAGAAATCCTATACAGGGTTGCTATGGATCGGAACCAACTCGACGGCACTTAACTACAACAGACTGGTCTGGTGAAAAGAGATGGGGATAAAATAGATTCTTATGATTTAATAATGAGCAACTGTTGTTGCTGTTATGTGCCATGGAGTCGGTTCCGACTCATAGCGACCCTACACAGGGTTTCCAAGGCTGGAAATCTTTACAGGAGCAGACTGCCTCATCTTTCTCCTGCGGAACCGCTGGTAGTTTCGAACTGCTGACCTTGCGGCTCACAGGCCGATTTGTAACCACTACGCTACCAGAGTGTAATAGTTATGACTAATTGCGACAGTCACAACTGTAAAGGTGGAAGTTTTGTAACAAAAATGGGGGAGTAGTTAATCTTACAGTACAGAAACAGAGGATCCTAGGGACCATCAAGGGAGAAGAACACGAATGGAATGTGGGACCTTATCCAGAGAAGCAGCAACACCAGAGATGGAGGCAGAGATGAGGACATGGTAAGGAGGACCAGATAAGGCATATGCGCCTCACTTTTTATATATCTCCGAAAAAGGACAAGAAATCCTGAATACGGGAAATTCATATTGAAAGTAGTTTTCAGTCCCATATCATATTGGGGGTCCTTGTGTGGCACTGTAGGATAAGCACTGAACTGCTAATTGCAAGGTCAGTGGTTTAAACCCTCCTCAGAAACTCTATACAGGGTCGCTAGGAGTCAGAACTTAACATCAGATTTCCTTAAATAATGTTTATGTCTGTATCACCTTCTAAATTGTAAAATTGTTAGAATATTACACCTAAATTCATGTCAGTACTGTAAAGGTCCTTCAGGTGAAGTTGAAAAGTTACTGCTAATAGAGATGGAATAAACGCTGAGCATTGTTACTATTCAATTAGTCAAACTGAAACAAACTTCTTTCCCCACAAGATTCACCTAACCTTTGCACCAAACCTAGGAACAGTGGCAGTTTTACTTCTTTTTCTCTCTTTTCAAGGTCACAGTTAAGTTTAACTGTATGGCTCAAGGTTAGGGAGATGCCAAGAACACCAACCTACAAAGGACACTCCGTATTTTGCTCTTATTCAGATAGCAATGGTACAGCATACACTTAAAAGATAAAGCACCACTTACAAGCTTTCAAGACAGAATCTAGATTCAGAGGGCATGAAGGAAGGTAATCTCCACTAGTAGTATATAATCTGTTTAGGCGGAGCTGATGAAATGAAATGTGGATGGATCTCTTGTGATACAATAGTGAATTGTTATCAGTGTTATCAGGACTGCTTGTGAGGGTTGGAAACATAAAGGTAGATGTTTTGTAGCAAGGAGGGGAGTGATTAACTTTTCAACCTAGGAGCAGAGGTCCCTGGCACCATCAAGGGAGAAGAGCAGAGAATGGGACCTTATCCAAAGAAGCAGTGATGCCTGAGATGGAGGCAGAGATGATGATGTGGAGAGATGGAACAGTTGGGGACTTTAGACAGAGAGAGGGAGAGGGGCTGTGTGCTGACAACCGGGGGGCAGGCTTGTAGTGTATACCCCTTTGGTTAATTGATGATGAATGGAGGGGATTGTAACCATAGCAATGAAACGATATACGATAGGATGAATGTAAAACTAATGTTCTCCCATGTAAACTATCACATAATTCACAATAAAACATTAAAAATAAATAAATAAAGCACCAAAGACACTTGAGGACAACAACAGTTGTTGTTGCTGTTAAGTACTGTCAAGTCCCTCCCAACTCAGTAGCAAAACAGAATGAGAACCACTGGCTTGTCCTGAGCACACCTCACAATTAGTATGTTTGAGTCCATTGGTGCAGAAACTATGTGTATCTATTTCCTCAGAGAAAGAAATTTTTCCCATTTTTTTCCGCTGACATCTACTTTACCAAGCATGATGTCCCTTCTCCAGGGACCAGTCCAAAGAATGAAGGCGAAGTCTTGCCACTCCCACTTCTAAGGAGCTTTCTGGGTGTACTTCTTACACCACAGGTTGGTTGGTTCTTCTGGCAGTCCATGGTACTTTTAATACACGTCTCCAACACCTAATTCACTTTAAAGAAGTCTTTCAGAGCAGCTTTTCATAATTTCCTGACTGCTGCTTCCATAAGGGTTGACTTTAGATCCAACCAAAATAGAAGTAATTTGACTTCAATCTTTTTTGTTTATCATGTTATTTACTGGTTCGGATGTCAGGATTTTTGTTTTCTTTACATTGACAGGCAAGCCATTCTGAAGGCTGTAGTCTTTTATCTTCATCATTATTTAAAATCCTCTTCGATTCCAGCAAGGTTGTGTCATATGCACCTTGTAGACTGTTACTGAGTCTGCTTCCAATCCTGATGCCATGTTTTTCTTCGTAAAATTCAGCTTCTTGGATTATTTGCTCAGCACACAATTGAAAAGGATGGTAAGTAAGAGACAACACTGGTGTACAACCTTTCCTGATTTCAAATCATTCAGTATCCCCTTTCTTTGTTTGAACAACTGCCTCTTGGTATATGTACAGGTTTCTCATGAGCACAATTAAGTGTTCTGGAATATCCATTCTCCATAATGTTATCCATAGTTTATGATCCACACAGACAAATGCCTTTGCATACTCAATAAACTACAAGTAAACATCCTCCTGGTATTCTCTGCTTTCAGTCAAGATCCATGTGACATCAGCAATGATATCCCTCATTCTATTGTCTGCTTCTGAATCTGGCTTAAATTTCAGGCATCTCCCAGTCAATGTATGACTTCACCATTTTAAAATTATCTTCAGCAAAGTATTACTTGCATGTGATATTGAAGATAACTGTCCATGGTTTCCCCAATTTCGTTGAGTCACCTTTCTTTGTAATAGGCACAAATACTGTTCTCTTTCTTCCAAATTTCTTAGCCTAGAAGAGTGAGTGCCTTCAGTGCTGCAACAGGTCGATGAAATATTTGTCCTCACCTTTGTTGAGGACAAAGGTAGCTAGTTAAACTCACTTAAAAAGCCCCCACTGAAGCTATAAACCCAGCCCCTCCAATTCTATCTCCTACTCAAACCCGACAGCCAACTCTTCCACAAGTCATTTCTCAAACATGCTCTAAACCTTCCTACTCATGGCATGCCCCCCTTCCTCTTTGGGGCATTCTCCCCAGTTTCCACTTCTAATTCTAACTGCTTGCCACTCCGTCTATGAAGACTTCCTCGAGGACTTTGCCCAGAAATAACACCTGTTCCCTGTCCTCCATACCATTAACTGTAAAAAGTGACTTACTATAGACTACGGAGTCCTGGTGTGGCGTTGTGGGCTAATGCGTCAGACTGCAAAGTCGTTTGAACAGCAAGGTCAGTGGTTCAAGCTCACCAGCTGCTCCTTGGAAACGAAACCCTATACAGGGTCGCTATGGATCGGAATCGCTATGGGTTGGAATCAACTCGATACAACACCACTACCACCTCACACTACAATTACAGTGCCCCTTACTACTCTGAGAAGGCACGAACTGTCCAGTCTTGTTCATGTAGAAATGGGATTAAAATGAAAAATGTCATTTACTAAAAAACAAAATGAAGACAAACTCAAGTTTTGTGAAACTACTGTTAAGAGTTCACCTTGAGATCAGCTGGGGCCTGGGTTCAAATCTCTAGTACTCTATATGAACTACTTCTATGGCCTCTGATAATTTACTTAACTCCCCTGAACTCCACTGTCATGCCTGTCAAATGGGATATCATCTGCCTGACAAGACCATTAAAAGAATAAAATGGGAATGTACCTCTAGTACCTCATGTGGTAATTGGTATAAATTATTATTTATAAAAAAATATAAATTCCTATGTTGGGAACAAGAAGAATCTTAACTGTATGTATTTTGTGTCTTTTGCATAAATAACCCCAAAGAGAGCCATTCCTATAGAAAATTAGCCTTTTGTGAGAAAAGAAATAAAAACACAATTAAGAGGCACTTTTCAGTAGGTCTTTTTTCTACAGGAGTCTACCACATCAAGTTTCTTAGTTTGGTATTTATAATTTTGACAAAATCAAGTAAGTTTATGTGGCCTTTGTATAAAAATGGTTTATTTTATTCCTTTAAGGGATAGCTGAAGACCTGGTATGATTCTGTAGGATAAGCACTGGACCACAAGGTCAGTGGGGTTCAAACTCACTAGTCGCTCCTTGGAAACCCTATCCAGCACTTATGAGTTGGAACTGACTAAACGGCACTTAACAACAGCAACAAGGGGTGGCTACATCCATTAATAATCTAAGAGTCTGATCAATACTTAAAATGAATTTCTATAACAAATAAAATAGACCAAAAACCCTAAAGCAGTTAGAAGTTCTCAAGGAGAGATGAGCACAACTGTGTGAGTATAGTGAAACAGTCTCCAACTCTTCAAGTTAGGAAAGCCTGGACAACCAAGAAGGGTACAGAAATATATGCTCCTAAGGGGGAAAAGGGAGTCCTGCTGTGGCGCTGTGGGTTAATGCGCTAGACTGCAAAGTCATTTGAACTGCAAGGTCGGCAGTTCAAGCTCACCAGCTGCTCCTTGGAAACCCTATACAGGGTCGCTATGGGGCAGAATTGACTCAATGGCACTTCACAACAACAAGGGGGAAAAACAATTTTCATGGCTAAACTCACAAAAAAGCGATGACATTGTGATTAAAAAAAAAACTTGTCACAGGAAGCAGACAAAAACCAGATTCTAGCTCTTAAATTGTCTAGCTTCCCTATTACGTAACTTAATTCAAGCTATCATGAAGGATGAATAATTTTAACAGCAAAGTACCTATGTACATGAGAATACAGACTCTCTACGGGGACATTTTAACTTGATACATCAAGAGAAATACACCAGATAGATTCAGTTTAAATCACTTACATAAACTACTAGCAGAGGAATTTTGCTTACCTGCCATACACCCACAATTGCATTGGCTACTAATATAAGTAAAATTACAAAGGGTTCTACAAAGGCTGTAATTGTTTCTTCACCTTCTTCAAACCAAGCCAAAACCTGAAAAAGAAATTGCATGTATTAGAATTGTTTTAGGCTTTATGTCACTGTACAACCAAAGTGGCTGTCATTGCGGGAATTACACTAGACAAAATCTCTTTTCTTACCTTACCTAGAAACAAGTGGTGGCAGAATGTAATGACATAAACCAGCAGCTATGCCTCGTTCATAATTTGTGGGGCGTACATAATGTAACAATACCCTAGAGTTATCAAACTTTTTTTTGGGGGGGGGGGCGCACAATAAGAATTCGTTTAGATCTCTAATGAAATATTCTAGGGGCAATAAAGCCCATTCATTTCATGTCTACATTCAGAGGAAATATAACACACATTGTGGTTGTTGTTGTTAAGGGCCATTGAGGCAGTTCTGACTAGCAGCAATCCTGTACAGGGTTTCCGGGGAGCGGCTGGAGAGTCTGAACCACCAACCTTATGTTTCAAATCAACACTGAGGTAAAGTACTTGTCCTATAGTGCCTCACCAGGGCTCCAAACATATTTTCGTCTAACTAAAATAAACCATCACCAACAGCTATGTTGATTTGGTTAGTATTCTTATCAAGTTATATCCATAAATGACATAAATTCATGGCAAAATCAACTTGACCACTAAAACTCAAGTTTCAGAGCATGTAAACGGTTAAATTCCCAATTTCTTTTCTGTTGTACTACTGAAGGCCCTCCCAGAATTATGATGAAGTAGCTCTGTGAGTAGGAATGTATTCTGAAGGGTATTTGGAAAGACATTTAACACAGTGATGAGCACTTCAGAGACTCGAAGTCTAAAACTGTGATAAACTGGACATGGCACACTGCCAGAGAAAACAGAACAAGAGCCTGTACAGCCCTGTTAAGACTTTAAAGTGCCACACTGGGCTTCATTTAGCATAAGGTAGTAAAATAGGAATCCAACACTGAATCTTGAAATAATAGTAAGAGAACATGATCTAGATGGCTACAAATTTGACAAACAGGTTGTGTGGAAATCCTAGAAATGATGTTAACTGGACCTAAAAATTCAACGAGTGATGAGACTTGCCTTTAAAAAAAAAAAAAGCTTAAATGCTCACATTTATTTGTATTAAAAGAGCTACTTAGTAGACAGTGAATGCAACCTTTTAATTCCCTTTCCTTTCAAATATTCCCAGATATGACTTATGGCAACAATGAAGCCATTTGCCTACATGTGAATCTAGTAGAATCCTTTAAATGAGCTTTTACACAAATGGCAAAAATAAGGAAGGCAATGTTCAACATGTTCTCCTGTAACAGAGAAATATCCCCTGAGCAGGAAAAAAGCAGAAGGCCCCAGGACGAGGGTGGGGAGCATGCCTGACAGATTACAGCCACCGCAGCTGCCACTGTACGGGGGCAGGCGGGCACCAGGACAAATGTAGAAACTACCTGCTGCAAAAGCTTTCACCAAAGCGCTGCTGGGGTTAAGGCCAGGCCTGATGCCAGAATGAAACCTCTCTAGGAAGTTATAAATTGTGATAGATGCAAGATCACAGCTGCTCTGGTATACTGGTTTTCCTAACATTTGCCAAAGACAGTCTATCAGAAACAAGAAACTCAGTTAGCTCTTGGGGGAGAAAAATTGCTCAACTTGCAGAGTAACCAGGACCTTTTATGAAAGGTCAGGGAGGCATTAGCAACTCTAAGATAAGCTTCACACCTTGTTAGGGCGGGTATGAGTTTTCCTCTTGGCAGCAGGGCAAGGAACAAACCCACAGCAACAGCCTGTAACAGCTGGAGCCCAGGAAAAGGCGAAGACAAGTGTGACAGGACCATCAGTGCAAACTTCTGCTTTTCAAGAAGAGTGCAGTGAATCTCCTAGTCACCAGCCGTGTTCCTCCACCATAAAACCATTTTAATGTGGACAATGCAGAACACCTTTTCTTCTACTAGGACTTCCAGTGTTTACATGTGATAAACACAGACATTTAAACTGTTATTTGAAGTCTCGCAGAGAGATACTGATTACTGCCTGGGTGAGAAACTAGTGAGCAAATCTTTTTTAGGATGGAAGGATGGCGACAAACTTATTCAAAATGGACAACCAGTTTCCTGAATACTTTGTAACATGCTTATTTTGAAACCTTAAATAACCCTAAGATGAAATGCTATACATAGCCAAAAACGAAAGGCAGCTATTTAACTAATAAGAATCAATCCAGTCACTTATGTTTAGCTCATACCTTGTCCTGACACGATGTCTTATTTTGTTCTACTGATAATTAAACTTTTGTTGTATAGGTGGGAAGAGAAGCAAATCAAAACCAAAAACATACCCTCAAAAAACTAAGCAGCTACTGCGGAGTCTATTCTCAGTCAAGGGGACCAGTGTACAGGGTTGGGTTTTCTCTAGCTGTTATCTTCTGAAAACAGAGCTCCAGGCCTCTCTTCCTAGGTGCCTCGGTGCAACCTTTTGGTTAACAGTCAAGTGCTTAACCATTTTGGTCTTATCCAAAGACCGAGAAAGATGATATTAACACATAAGAGTCAATGAAATTTGGGGAAGCAGGAATAGGAAAAAAAAAAAATCAAATGGGTGACCTTACTAAAATACGGGACACCTTATTAGTAACACAGCACAAGCAGTTCATAATAATGGTTACCAGAAGTTATAAAAATGTAATGAACCCCAAAAGATTAACAGTGGGAACCCATGCAGAGCTGCCTGAGAAGGCCACAGCCACTGAAAACTGAACAGTTTTATTCTGTATACAATGTGTCAACCAAAAGTTGGAATGGAATACAAAATTTATTCAAAAAATGTTTATACATGAATATAGATTTCATAAAACTTGTAAGATACAAGGCTCTAAGTAACAGTATATCCAATTTAAGCATTAAAAAGACATTACCTTTTGCCAACTCCCTAAGCAATATGGAAGGAAAGGAGGAGAAAAGACTATGATAGTATGATTTTAGGTAACACTTAACAGTGTTTCTTGTGGCCTTAACTTAGTATTAATACAGTAACAGGACTCATATTCTTGGCCTTATATTAGCAAGCCAAGTTCAAAATTTCAAATTTTCCAATTTTCAGTGTAACACTTTCTAAGTAATTACTTGTTAGTCCAACACTACACTATAATTTAAACGGCTTAAATGGTAGAGAGAGGATAGCTACTGATTGTTACCAGGAAGACCCATCTCTGGACAGCACTGCCCACTTCTTATCCTACAGCTGAGAGGTACTGTAGAGCAGAGAAGGCAAATACTAAGCTCAGGCACTAAAAAGTAAAAAGGTGTGTTCTGGTAAAAATGGAGGCAAAGGCATGATACTGTGACTCAGTTTCCATATCAGTGTGTAAGAATAAAGGGCTAGGATCTTAGTAAGACCCCACACACACACTAAAAAACCCACAAAAAACGCAGAGTATTTTCCAATAGAAGAAACAAAAACACAACCAAAATCGGGAAGAAAGAAAGAAAAAGACCAGTAGTGCTGTGTTAATTTTCTGGAGTGGAAACAAATGCTTTCAGCCATTAAGACACCAGATTATGAATGAAACTTCATTCTCGGAGCCAGAAATAAAGCTTATGTCACTCTTCAATGTTTTCAGACTTGAGAATACAATCTTCTAAACAAATAAAAAAAAATGCTCACCCTTCAAACTTTAAGTTTCTAAATAAATTAGGAAAACCAATTAAATTGCCCATGTCTTCCTTTAAATACATACACACACATTTACAAGTATTTTATAATGTAGTATAAAATGCTTTCTGAATATATCTGTACTTCACAAAATAAATAAATAAATAAAAATCAAAGTGGCTCTTATATTTTGAAAACGCTACCTCCATCAAGGAGTCCTGGTGTGGCAGTGTGGGTTAATGAGCCAGATTGAAAAGCCGTTTGAACTACAAGGTTGGCAGTTCAAGCTCACCATCTGCTTCTAGGACCTATCCAGGGTCACTATGGGTCTGAACCAACTCAATGGCACTTGACAACAACCTCCACCAAGGTTTCCATTTACTTACTTGTTCTATCAAAAGCAGTAACCTAGTAGTGCTGGAACTGTAAGGAAGCCAGGTGGCATAGTAGGTGACTCACTGGGTTGCTCATCTCAAGGTCAGCAATTTGAGTCCACCAACTGGTATACATGAGAAAGCAGCTTTCTGCTCCCATAAAGATTTATACCCTCTGAAACCCTAGCACTTTTTAGGATCCAAGTGGCTGAGGCGTTAGAATGGGAAAGAAGGTAGTAATAAACTGTACAAATTCTGTTACCAGTAAGGATCTCCCAGTTTTATGGCCTGAAGGTCACCTTTTTAGAGGCAATTCCGGACACACGTACCCACGCCTTCTACCGCCGCCCCTTCCATTTCTCTCTACAGCACTATTTGTATCTTACAGATTGTCTCAACTGAAATGTATGCCCATGCCAGGGACTTTGTCCATTTTGTTCAGACTGGTAAAATAAAAAAAGGGAGGGCATTCCAGTTAAGCAGCAACATGATATGAAGGGCAAAGTGGTACCAGAGGAGGATGAAAGGGCAAATGAAATAAATTTTGGCCTCAAATGTTTAAACTAAGGAAATGTCATTGTTATTCCACACGTTTCAAGAAATGTACAGCTTACTTATCCCAATTCAAATAGCTTAAAAACATTTTTCCTTCTGATGTGTATTACAAATTAGCTAGACTTGATCCCTAACCAGTCACAGGTAACACTGTTTCCAACATTTTGCTACAGCAAAATATTAACTATAGTTTACAGTTTACTAGTTCATTTGATATTCGAAATTAAACTAAGGCCTAATATTTCTTTGGAACTTCAGCATGACGTGATGATTTGTCATACATATATATATATACATGTCTGTTCACACCTACAAAAGAGAATATTTCCATTAGGAATAAATAAGCTATCACACACACACAAAAAGGACTCAGCTCTTTTTAGATAGAAATGGACAGTGCAGCAGTGCCAAATCCATAAAAAGAAAATCAACAAAACAGCTTTAACATCCACAATTTCTTGATGAAAGAAACCAAAGCAAATTTAAGTGATTTCTACAGTAAAACTACTTTCTAAACACTTAGTATTCATCTGTTATTTAGCAACACCCCTCATTTCCTGAAAAATAACTTCCAACTAGTTACCAAAAGGTAACTCAAATTTTAGCTCCAAAATATAGCACAGCTCCATAAAACTCAAAAACTTTGCTACCCTTAACAGCAAACTGAAATTCCGCTTGAAAATACCTAGAAACACTTAATTCCCAACTACTTCAGACTTAAAAAAAAAAAACCCAACCCTAACAGCTAGTAGCTACTTTATTGCAACATCGGCAGCATTACTTCCAATACATTACACCAAAGAAAATCACTCAGGTAACAATTCGTTGGACCTGTGTTGGATCCTACTATTACCTAAGTGAACTGAGAAGACTTTAGAATTACGTTGTTGTTAGGTGCTGTAAAGTCGATTCCAACCCACAGAGACCCTGTACAGGGTTTCTGAGGAGCAGCTGGTGAGCTTGAACCGCCAACCTTGCAGTTCAAACGGCTTTGCAGTCTGGCGCATTAATCCACATTAAAAATATTACACTAGTCCAAGTATGTCATTTGTTTTGCTCCACGGCAATATAATGCAACTGTCACTTCTCTACTCATTTATCTTATTTGGTAAAGCAACATTTAATGGGAAGAGGGGATTTTAAAAGATTAAATCAAGGACAGACACACAAGAGATACGGAGTGATTCAGTATGCTAAATGGTTTGTTCTGTGATGTTCTCAATTTTACTCAATGAACACCAGAAAGACTATAGTGGTATTGGGGATTGTGAATTATTAATGGCTACACATCACTTGGCTAAATCTCAGAGAAAACTCATCCACAGAATTACATCAGATGTTCACCTCTAGCCACTGTCTACTTAAAAGATAAATACAAAAGCAACCCTTTCCCATATCTGAGCAAATTAAATGCCAAATGCTTCATGTATTTAGTTCTTACAGTGGCCCTCTATTGTAAGGAGCTCTGGTAGCGAATCCGGCTGCTAACCTCAGAGTCAGCAGTTCGAAACTACCAGCTGTTCTGTGAGATAAAGATGGGGCTTTCTGCTCCCATAAAGATTGACAGCCTCAGAAACCCTGTGCAGGGTCACTATGAGCCGGAACCGACTCCACAGCACACAAGAACAACAACATTGTATGGTGGTCCTAAAGACTGAGGTAGGTCCCCCACAGGACTTGTGTATGCACAGACATACACGAATAAACCAAACCTTGAAAGTGATGTCAATTTTGCACTGCCGGGAAAAAAGTATCACCTAAATGAATTTAACTTCTTCACCATGGTTTTGCAATAAAATGCTGTAACTGATTCAAGACCAAAAAGCATCTCATTCTGTTAGGATTAGAAACAGCTGTGTCCTAACTCAGGAACATTTTTAGGAAATCTACCCAAAAAGTATATAGCCCAAGAAAAAAAGATGTAATTTTAAAAAATAGTGAACAGAAAAAATTTCAAAGACCTAGAAATATCTTTTCACACCACCCCACAGACACATTTCCACTGTAGTTCTTTGCATTTCACCAGTTTCTTAGCAACCATACAGGACTTAAGTTTACAGCACATACAGAACAATAAAAACACTCTGCTTCCTCCCCCCCTTTAAAGATCCAGAACCAACTGTACTGAACCCTGTTCTCTCAACCCAGGAGGTACTCAAGACCAGGGTCTAATTTAGACAAATATACCACCCTAAAGGTCAGTGACCAAATTTGGTCAACAGTGGGTGCCATCACTGCCGTAATCATTCTTGTCACTGTCAGGAACAACTGTCACCTTGCCATTACCAGAAAGGGAAAGCAACTAGAATATTCCTTTTGTAAATTCTATTTACAGAATAGCCCAACATCATGTCAGTATGATTATTCAACATGATGACAATGGAAGAACCCCAAAGACTTCCCAATGAAGAACTCTTTTGTACTAAACTGCTGGTTGAAACCTAAAAATTCGAAGTCCCTGTCCCACATTTAGGGACAATTTCTACTTGCTTGGACAAAGTCAGGCACCATTTATTATTTTCTGGACATGTACAACTTCCATTGTTTTGTTTAGAAATTTGAAAATCTCAGGTTTTGGTTAACAATTATTCTTTACACCTGGAGACATAGCGTAAATTTATAAATTATGTTTGCATGCAATGGGCACCATTGCTTCCCCATCTACGGAATAGCCTCAACCTTTTTAAAAGTTATTTTTTATTAAAAAATAAATAAATGGCATTATACTTACAAAAGATATACATGCTGCCAACAGTAAGATTCTAACTAGTAGGTCTTCAAACTGCTCAATCACAAGTTCCAACAAGGTTTTTCCTGTTAGGAACAAATTTCATTTATTGTTAACTGTCATCTAACACCAACAAACAAAATTGGGGGGCAGGTGGTGGTGGTGAGCATTTCAATATGACTTACCTTCTTCAGCCGGTAACTCTGGAGAATGGAGAAATTCGCCAGGCAAGCAACGTGTCGAGAAGGGGGTAGGGAGAGAAACAAAACCACATTTTAGTATTGGGCCTTTCTGTACGCATCCCTGTCTTATCAAGGGCAACCTAGATACGTGAACATTTCATCTGTTTTGTTTTTTTTTAAATTTTATTTCATTCTATTTTTAATCGAAAGCATACGAAAATGAAACATGCAATATTATCATTAATCCGTGGCCGGCACGTCTTAACCCGACCAGGAAAAGCATCGCCACGGAAACCGGCCTCCTGAAATAAGGAGTCATTTCAGCGCTGTCATCATTTCTGCCAGAGGTGGAACTTCGGAGCGTTCGAGGGCAGACCGAGGCTTTCCCAACGACACCGCCGCCCCGTCAAGGGTCTCGCGGGCCCGGCCTTCCCTCCCCTCCAGCGGGGCCGCCGCGCGCCGCCGGGAAGGTCACGGGCTCCCGGCGCCCCGCCGCAGCCCCTCGACCAGTCCCGAGCTGCCCGTGGTTCCCGGCGGGCGCCGAGCCGAGTCGCACGCGGCCGGACTGGGCAGCCATCTTCCCTGCGCTCAGGCGGCGCAGCTCTTACCGTTGGAGCCCCATCTCTCCTTGAGCTTCTTGACCTGCTCCAGGCTCAGCCCCGTGCTCTCGTTGACGCCGAAGTGACCCAGCACCTCCTCGACCGTCTTTGTGTGTGCGTTCTCCATGGCGGCGGGGGCCCGGTCGGCCTCTCCTCGCGTGCCCGCGGCCTCCTCGCCTCGGCCTCGCCCTCGGGCCGCCGCCGGCTCGTGCCACCCGGGCGCCCAGGCGCGCGATGGCCGCCTCCTCCTCCGGCTGCTTCCGCCTCCCGGGTGGGCGCTGAATCAGCCCGCGCCCCTACCGGACAACCACCCCGCTCGAGGCCCGCCCTCCGAACCTCCAATGAAGGGAAGGGCCTTCTCCGCCTTCAACGGCCCGCCGGCAACGCAGGCCACGACCCCGAGTCCCTCTGAGTCTCCTAAGGCGCTCCGCTGCCCCTCCCGGGCCGCACGAGAGGGCACCTATCAACCCCTGAGGACCAAATGCAAGCAGGAAGGCGAGCCAGCGGGCTGCTGTGCAGTGCGTTCGCGAGGCTCCCTCAGCCCCGCACCCCCGACAGTGGCAGAGGGAACTGCGGCGGAGGAGAAGAAGGTGGCGTCGGGGACGGCTCCACGGCGGCTGCTCTAATAGCATTTATCCGCCGCTGCCTCCCCTCTCGCCGCCGCCGCGGCATGTGGACGCCGCTCATTGGCCGAGAGCACCCAGCGAGGCGCGGGCGGCGCGGCCCCGCCCCCTCTCCACGGCTTCCTCCCTCCCGCGCGCGCCTCGCGCCCACGCTGCCGCGCAGGCCCCGCCCCTCCGCGCGCCACCCCAGGAACCCGGATCGAGACCCGCGCGCGCCGCCGCGCTCGCGCACTGCGCGTTGCAGCCCGCGGAGCGGCTGGGGCACGCCCCGACCTCCGCAGACGCAGTACTCGGGGTGGTGGAGCATGATTTTGTTTGGGGTGGGGGTAGGAGGGTCTCCCGGCACTCGCAGCCCTTCCGGGGTTGCCTCAGGCCTGGTGGGTAGCAAAGATGGCGGTTTTGAGGCTCTGGATCCACTCTGGGCTAGGTGGTGCCCTCGCCCTCGGTCTCCTGGCCCATACTTTGCCCCCTCAAGAACAACGGGAAGAATTCCGCAGCTCCCTTACTACACATCCCCCATTCCTCACCTCATCTGTCGCCTCAGGAACGCCGCACCGTCGCCCTCCTCCCCGCCCACCCCCGCCCCAGGCCGGGAGCGCCTTCACAGGCAGTATCCTCCAGTTCCTGGGCTTTTGTGCTCCGACAGGGAACCCCAGTCTGGGAGAAGTAAGAAGGGCTTTTACTTGTAAAAGCCCACCTCGCCTGTGATGCATATCTGCATACAAGTCACACGTTATGCTACCAGAACTCAGTTGCCGCTAGGATTGCGTCAGGCGCTGGGCTCTGACGTGAAGATCAAGACCGGTTTCTAGATTACACTTTTCCCCAGTCGGAGAAGGGACTTAAGTCCTAAAGCTATTATTATTATTATCAACATTTTATTGACGTCTGGGTGAAAATGTACCCAGCAAATTGTCTCACATCCAACAATTAGACACATTGTGTTTCGTGACATTAATTGCTATCCCCTCAAAGTAACAGCATTCTTTCCCACTTCTTCTCTGGGTTTCCCGTTTCCATTCCTCTTTTCCTGCTCCTGCCTGCTTTCTGAACTTTGTTTCTGGGCAAATGCTGTCCTTATGTTCTCCTATGATTGATTATTCTGAAGAGTATGTTCCTCATGGGTGAAGTTTGTTCACTTTGTAGGCCCCTTCTATTGTTTGGCTGAAAGATGATCCCTGGGAGTGGGTTCAGTTCCAGGTCTGAAAGGTATCTAAGGCCTAAAACTATTCTTTAACCCCAGATAATCTGCTTCTGGGGTCTGTACAAAGCTTAGATGACAGCAAGGTAAAAGAAATTACATCAAGATGAAGAAATCACTGCTATTTAAGAAGGAGAGACCTTTGCATTGAATTCATGAATCATACTGAACATATGCCCTGCACAAAGAAGGGACACTTTCTTAAGGAAGCCTGTTGTGGAAGGAAGCATCTAGTCCACATAAGTGTATCATCCACATGAACAAAAGCTGAGCAAAAAGGACCTCAGTTGTCCTCTATGGCTCAGCCTCAGACTTTAGAGAAATTCCTTCAGCAAATGCACAATACAGTGTATTCCCTGGGTGAAGAAAAAAGAAAAGAAAAAAAAAAAAAAAAAAAGCAGGCACGTCATTTCATTTCATTATTTCCAAGGAGTGGAAGCTGGCTTGCAGCTTTGATACTTGGAAAAGGACCAAGGAAACCCTACTCGAAACAAAAAAGTGCTCCTGGATAGCAATGCACTAAGAAGCAAGGTGGAAACTGGTTGGGTCACAGGATGGGAACCGCTCCTGGAAGCCCATGATCACCCTGGGGGTATGGTGATGAAAGGTTCTTGTGCCTCCAATACCAGTGCTGTGTTACTGCTCCCTAATTCTTCTGCCTCACCTCTTTAGCACCCATAGAAACACCACAGGCAGGAGGATCAACTGGTATAGAAATGATCTTGACTTTGGATCTCCATTCTGTGGCTCAGACTCTACTTGAAGGAGAGCAATTAGAAGTTGCTTGAGGGATTCCTGATCTCAGCTGTTTATACTAGATGAGTCTTGAATGCTCATTCTCCCAGATTTGCACAAGTCTCACTATCATTATGATCTCCACTTAAATGTCAACTTCCCAAAATGTCTTTGCAGATTCTGTCCAACGTGGCTACCCTTCCCAGGGAGCCTCGATCACACTTTTCTATTGTATTTTCTTCACAGCACTTATCTCTGACATTGCATTTTCGTTAAGCTGTTTGCTGCCTGTCTCCCCTGACTAGGGGGTAAGGAAGCCCCATGAAAACAGGCATGGCTAGGCTGTCTCATGCAGCTTCAGAACACAGAGCAATCTCTGGTATAGATTCAGTAAAGACGACGCTCGCTGTCTGCTCCCGTAAAGATTTACAGTCTGGGTATAATCCAACGACGGTTCTACTCATAGGTTCACTGTGAGTTGGAATCCACCAATGGGCATGGGTTGGATTTTTTGGCTTACAATAGGAATGAATGAATGGGTTCCCCACATCCCCAACTGTCCAATGACTTGCAAAGGGCCTTGCTCAAGGAAATGTGTCAGTGACGTTTTCCAAGCTGAAGGCTTTTGATTTCAAATTAGTGAAAAACACAGGAGGAACACTGAACTACTTACCTTAAGGGAATGGCTATGAAGGTTCATTAGGTTTAAAACAAAATGAAAACTAGACAGCATTATAGGTTTCTCAGTGATGAGTACTGTGTAATTTCACACTGGTATTGTTATCTATCACATTGTCATAACTCTCGTTGGCTGCTATTTACAAATTTTCTATCTCTTGTAGGCTGAACTCTTCCTTCAAAGGGAAATCATATGACTTTTCACCCATTCTATATTACCTTATCAATTATTATGCCCTTGGAGTCTCTGGGTGATGTAAATGGTTAAGAGCATGGCTGCTAACCAAAAGATTGGTGTGGCACTCTAGGATTAGCACCCGACCACAAGATTGGTTTGAACCTCAAATTTGATGGTTCAAACTCACCAGCCACTCCTTGGAAACCCTATACAGGGTCACTATGAGTTGAACCCAACTTGATGGCAGTTAACAACACAACAAGCACCTTGGAAGAAAGGTCTGGCAAACTCCTGAAAAATCAGCCATTGAAAATCTTATGGCACACAGTTAGACTCTGACACACATGGGATCACCATTACTCAAAATCCATTTGTTGGCAACTAGTTTGGTTTTATCGGAGTCTTGGTGTGGTGCTGTAGGATAATGTGGTAGCACTGCCAGGTCGGTCTGAACGCACCAGCAGTTCCTCAGAAATCCCATACAGGGTCGCTGTGAGCCGGAACCAACTCAGCGGCAATTAACAACAATCAGCAACAGTTTGATTTTATTATTATTTTTATTATTTTCATGCACTTGATTCCTCAACCCAAATTTGAGTTTAAACATGATGCGTATAAGTGCCATTGAGTCAGATCCAACTCACTACAACCCTGCTAGGGTTTCCAAGGAGCAGCTGGTGAGTTTGAACCTTGTAGCTCAAACTGACCTTGTAGTCCAGTACTTTACCCCGCAGTGCCACACCAGGACTCTGTGTTGCTTATAGTGGTGGTGGTTATGTGCCATGAAGTCAGTTCCAACTCATAGCTACCCTGTACAGGGTTTCCGAGCCTGGAAATCTTTATGGGAGCAGAAAGCTTCATCGTTCTCCGCAGAACAGCTGGTAGTTTTGAACTGCTGACCTTGAGGTTCACAGCCCGATTCGTAACCACTATGCTACCATAACACCTTGTTGCTTATGAGTGGCCAAATTTACCATTAACCCAGCTTACCAAAGGCAAAAGGATCCAGCGTCTCTTGACTCAGAAATAAACATGTGCTCAATGTATCCACTGAACTACAGTTTCTTCTTGTTAACCATATTGTGTTGTGTTTTTTTCAGTTAGATAGGGTTTTAGAAATACTGCATTTTTCTCTCAGCAAGGATTCCAGCTATTTTGAATAAAGATAGAGAGAGAAAAGGAAGAAGGGACGCTGTGATTCAGAAAGACAGATGATTTAATCAAAGAACTTCAAAGGCATCAGTAAAAGGGGACAGGAGCTGGTGAGGCAACCTACTTTAAAAAGCTAGGCAGTAAAGAATGACTTGCAAAAGACGTCCCAGCCTTCCATGGGCCTCCCGTAAAGTGATGGAGACTGCAAAAAGGCAACCTGTTCTATATTTGGACTGTTCCAATCACTGAAGTGGAGTCCTGGAGTGGTGCTGTAGGATAAGCACTGGACTACTAATGGCAAGGTCAGTGGTTCAAACCTACCAGTCGCTCCTTAGAAACCCTATGTGTCACTATGAGTTGGAACTGACTCGTGTGTTCACAACAACAAATCACAACAAGAAGTCAGCAGTCCTGGTGACATATTGGGTTACGCATTCACTGCTAGCCAAAAGGTGGTGGTTCGAACTCACCAGCTGCTCCATGGGAGACAGATATGGCAGTCTGCCTCCGTAAAGACCCTCGTGAGCAGTCCGACTCTGTCCTACGGGGTTGCTGTGACTTAGAAGCGACTACACAGCATCAGACTGCAAAGTCGTTTGAACTGCAAGGTTGGCGGTTCAATTTCACCAGCGGCTCATCGGAAACCCTATACAGGGTCGCTTTGGGTTGGAACTGACTCGACAGCACTTAGCAATAACAACACAGCAGTGGGTTAT